AAAAAAAAAAAGGCCTTCTTGGGATACATGACAATTATATATGCAGATTAAACAGAGAGCTGTAAGTTAACAAATCACCATAAAACATATGCAAGAGGAAAACTCCATCTCAAAAAAAAAAAAAAAAAAAAAAAAAAAGCCATACAATATATGGCCTTTGTGTCAACTTAGCATAATGTTTTCAATGTTCATCCATGTCATAGCATTTATCAATACATCATTCCTTTGTATGGCTGAATAATATTCTATTGTATGAATACACCATATTTTGTTTAGCTATTCATCCACTGACAGACATTTGGATTGTTTCCACTCTTTGGCTATTATAAATAATGCTGCTCTGAACATTCCTATACAAGTTCTTTGTGTGGACACGTTTTCAATTCTCTTGGGTATACACCTAAAAGTAGATTGCCAAGTCTATGGTAACTCTAAGGTTAACTTTGTGTTGTAACTGCCAGAATGTTTTCCAAAGTGACTGAAATGTTTTATATTCCCAACAGAACCATGAGGGTTCCAATTTTCCAAGTCCTCAGCACCACTTACAACTGTCCATCTTTTATTACAGCCATCCTAATGGGGTGTGAGGTGGTATCTCATTGTGGTTTTGATTTGCATTTCTCTAATGACAAATGATGCTGAGCAATTTCTCATGTGCTTACTGGCCATCTGTATATCTACTTTGGAGGAATATAATTTTACGTTTTAAAAGATCACTATTGCTGTAGTATGATGAATGAACAGTGTGGGTTGGGGACCAGAGTAACAGGTGAACAGGAAACTAGTTAGAAGGCAACTGAAGTAGCCTAGGTGAGACTGTTGGCTTAACCTAGGCTGGTGACAGGGTGTAAAGTGACAATTCAGACTATTTTTTTTTTTTGTAATAATGTCTATTTTCTTTTTTTTTTTTTTCCCTTTTACTTTAAGTTCTTGGATACATGTGCTGAATGTGCAGGTTTGTTACACAGGTACACATGTGCCATGGTGGTTTGCTGCACCTATCAACGTGTCATCTAGGTTTTAAGCTCTGCATGCAATAGGTATTTATCCTAATGCTCTCCATCCCCTTCCCCCACACCCTGATTCAGAGTTTTGTTTTTTTGTTTTTTTGAGACAGTCTCACTCTGTTGCCCAGGCTGGAATGCAGTGGCGCAATTTCGGCTCACTGCAACCTCCGCCTCCTGGGTTCCAGTGATTCTTCTGCCTCAGTCTCCCAAGTAGCTGGGACTACAAGGCAGGTGCCACCACGCCCAGCTTAATTTTTGTATTATTAGTAGAGACAGGGTTTCACCATACTGGCCAGGCTGGTCTCGAATTCCTGACCTCGTGTGATCCACCCGCCTTGGCCTCCCAAAGTGCTAGGATTACAGGCATGAGCCACCGCACCTGGCCGATTCAGACTATTTTTTAAAGAAAGAACAGAACTTAGGCAATAGATGTGGGGTAAGAACAAAAAGAAGTATGTAGAATGACTCCTAAGAATTTTAGCTTGAGCATAGCTTTAACTGAGAAGGGGGCTTTAAAGGAGAAATCAAGGGAGATTTGGGGGAAAAAAAGAGTGATTTGGCCAATGTTAGATCTAGGATAACTATCAGACATCCAAGTGGATGTCAATTAGACAATGGGATAAATAAGTCTGCAGCTCAGAAAAACAGGTCAGATCTGAGCTCACCTAGAAAGAGGGTACAGATGGAGAAATTAAGAAGGCCATGACTCAGCCCTGAAGATTTTGTCATCTCGAGGTCAGACGAGGAGAAGGATCTGGCAGAGGAGACTTCTATGCATCTGGAAAGCCAAAGAAAAGTGACTTACGGGGAGAATTAATTGAGTTGAAGGCTGCTGAGACTTCAAGCAAGTGGAGGACAGAGAATAGACAACCGGATTTGGAAAGATGAAGGCCTTCAGTGCCCTTGGTAAGAATAACCTATGTTACATAGTTGGGATAAGACCCTAATTAATACAGGTTAAAAGAGACTCAGTGTTGAGGAAGTGGAGCACAATTATAGACAGCTCCTTCGAGATGGATCACATGTTAGAGAAATATTACTTACTATACTTGTGATCTAATATTTCATATGCAACTGGCATCTTTTATTTGGAAAGGTCTATGTGGTTAAAAAACAACATCAACAACAACTCATTCTCCTAACTAGTCCTACAAAACTAGATAATTAAAACCCCTTTAGGGTGGGCACGGCAGTTCATGCCTATAATCCCAGCACTTTGGGAAGTCAAGGTGGGAGGATCACTTGAGGTCAGGAGTCTAAGACCAGTCTGGCCAACATGGTGAAACCGTCTCGACCAAAAATACAAAACCAAGCTAGGTGTGTTGGTACGTGCCTGTAATCCCAGCTACTTGGGAGGCTGAGGCATGAGAATTGCTTGAACCCAGGAGGCAGAGGTTGCAGTGAGCCAAGATCGCACCACTGCACTCCAGCCTGGGTGAGAGTGAGACTCTGTCTCAAAAAAAAAAAAAACCTTTAACACTAGCTAGAAAATGATTCTAGGCCTGGCGCAGTGGCTTAAGCCTGTAATCCCAGCACTTTGGGAGGCCAAGATGGGCGGATCACGAGGTCAGGAG